ATATTTGGGGGTGCTTAACTTTTTTCCAGGTGTATATATATATATATATAATGTGTGTGTGTGTGTGTGTGTGTGTACCTGGCTCATAGACACTGTACAGAAAAATGTTGTTTTTTACAGTAAAACTGAGGCTATTTGAAATACAATAACATAAGCTATATAATGACGTTTCTATTAATGATTGATACTTTTTTTAAGGTGTGCTGTTTGAATCTGATCCCTATCCTTACAGGACCGTCAACTCTTATAAAGAATGAAGAAACTTGTTATTTCTTCCAAGCTATTTTCATCTTTTTAAAAATTGTACTTGCAGTCAGCACACCGTAACAAACAGGAAGAATGTATACAAAGTCGATCGCGTAAGGTAACATGCGTATTCCTAACTCTTAGCGTGTATAAATAGAAGTTTATAATGAACAATAGGCTGATGTGAAAATGATACGTAGGAGAGTGACATGTTTAGATAGTCACATTTTTTGTCACTTTATAAAATATCCTACTCGTTAGTTAATTCGTGATTGGTCAATAAAAGCGAATTTATCATTACTTACACAATCTGTGTAATATATGTTTTAATAGGAGTAATAACAGTGAATAGGAACGAGCACCTAACGCGAAGACTGGGGGCAGCAGTGACCCGTGGCTATACTGTAACTGTAAACGTTGGTTTTCAGTGTAGCCCCAAGATCGGGCTTCTACAGTACTTTTTGAAAACGTCGTCTTTATTTTCCTGTTGAAGCATTAAAACAGTTATGGGACGCTCGGGTTTTTTCATGTTCCAGCTATGATGATGATGCACAATTATTAGTATTAAATAACGTCGCCTCTGTCTTCATTTTTATGCAAAATAAGTATCAGGTAATCGTCATGTTGTTTGATCTACAGATGCTTACTATTGAAGCCCATGTTCATAAATACTCATTTAGTGCTAAAGAGTTTTAGCCCAATAAATGGTCAGAAAACGACGATTCGTACATCGATGTTGCTTAAACAGGGTGAGTCAACGAGCCTTTCTAATATTTGTTGCTTTGGTAAATTTTACCCAAAGCTATAAGAGGTTTATTTGCATTCCTAATTTTGAAATGACAGAATAGAGGGAAGAGGAAAGGCAGCTAGTCGACACCACCCATAGTCAACTTTTGTCAGACCGATTAGGGGGATTTGATCATCACTCTTATAACACACCCACAGTACGGAGTGAGGTTTTTTTGTTTTGACGATAACAGATCGCGAATCTAATATCCACAGTATGGCACGCTAACCACTGGGCAACATTCGGTCCTGCAGTAGTCTTCCATCAGAGTTACTTTCTGTTCTTCAACATGTTGCCAAGTCCAATCGCTCGGTATCCAGAAAGTTGCAGACCGGAGAGGACACTCGTTATTACCCATTAGAAGAAAGTTCTAACAAACTTTACCTGCACGTAGCTCGCCAATAGTTGTAAGACTGTATCTTTATTCAGTTTCACATTTATATTGCCATGTCATAACATGGAATGGTTACTGTAGCTACCAATATTAGTCCCTGAATCCATGCATAAAATGAACTGTGGAAATATCTGAAAAGTAGTTTTAAAAAATTAGCTAACTATTCAAGAATGAGAATGTTTTGAAATATTGATTTGTAAACATCAATAATAAAAAAAACATATTGAAAAGTAAAAAAATAGGTCAGATACATTTGTTACAAGTATTTAAATGTTTGAGTTTAAGACACTTTTCTTCTGTATTGACAATTCTTTATGAGCTATCTGGCAAATTTTAAACATATTTGCAGTGGTGCTTAACCATACTCTTGGGTGTGCTTTTAAATTACTTCTGGCATATCTTCAAACATATTACCAATGTTGTTGGTTAACAAGTCTTCTCTTACATACATATATACGTACACACACACACACACGCATACATACATATATACACACACACACACGCATATATTTGTTCTGGCAATAATTTTTCAGTTATTGAGCACAATTTATGAACAAAATGATTTTAATTTTTACCTTACCATTAATTATACAAAATTCTTAAAAATAAATTAATGTCTACTAAGATCTTGATTGAATTAATTTACACTAATTTAAGGTTTTTTATTTTTAAAGGATGTTTATTACTATAAAGAAACAAGTTGTTTAGTTAGTCATATGATTAAAAATTATACATACACTTCTTTAACATTTCTAAGCTTGTGAGTACTTATCAAGTATTGTTTTGTAAAATATATACGTTAATTTTTCTCTAACTCAGTTTTCAATAGGAAATTTAAGTACAACCTTTTATGTAGTCTACCACGGTACAACAACACCTGTTTGGTTAAAGAATCTTCCATGATGACTATTGCTTAAGGTTGCCATAAGTTTTATTAAAGATTCAACACTTTCAGTGACATGGAGTGAAGCATGTGGACCACCAATATTTGTCTGGACCCAACCTGGACACAACATCACTACTAGAATGTGGTCTTTCTCCACGCTCGTTGCTACCCCTCTCATCAACATGTTCAGTGCTGCCTGTGTAAATAAAAAAAACTGTAAAAAGGAATCAAAGGATATTCTAATAAATAACAATTAACAATACGACATATACATGTTATAAAGGGACACTCTTCTTTTTGAGTCAAACTTTTACATGACAGTCTCAACCAAAAGCCGTTTTCTTCCCTATCATCTTTGGAGATAACCCTGCTGAATAATAGAAAACAGGGTTAATATCACATTCTTGCAAACATAGGAAACAAATCATTTTAGTTTAAACATTAATAAAGGCCCACACATATACATACACACATATAGCACATTTAACTGTATGCAATCACTTGCAGTTATTTTTTTCACTAAATATTCAGTTACTAACTCATATCCTTTATTGCCTGTGCAATGAATATTATACAAAAACACTGAAACGCCCTCTACATCAGTAAACTGAACTGCATAAATCAAAAACCAATACTGATATGCAAGTATCACAAATTGTAATTCTCTATAATATAGTATCTCAATATATCTATATTCGTAAATAATTTTTCTAATTGTTTTTGACAGGTAACATTTAGAAACATTTTTTTTGCTTCCTCTAAATACAACAAAGCCTTGACTCATACTAATCCTATTTTGAGAGGCTATCCTACAATGTTGGTTATTAATCCAAGAACACCTTCTCTTATAATGCTTAAGCTTGATAAGTTGTAAAGCTAGAGCTAATGGCTTAATAAGTATGGTACACATAATAGGGTAGAAATGTTAAATATTAGGGACCCTGGTTTCTATTTTATTTACCAATAGGACTATTCTAAGGACAAGTACTTTGGAATGCTAGGACTTCTAATACTTTCCAATGAAAGTTTGTAATAATACATTGCTTTATGTTTGTTGGATCACCCGGTGTCGTTATTCAGTCTCTTTTTCATTTTGTTTCAGTTGCTGTCATACATAGAACAGACCACATAAAGAACAGTTCTGTTTCCTATAAATTTCATCTTCCAGTTTTTTCTGAATAAACCTATTGTTATATCTTCTTAAGGAATGAAAAACTTACCTATTAAGTTCAGTTTTACCTGAGAATATACCGATATAAGCTATTAAAAGTGATTATGATGCCATAATCAAGGATTTGTTTTTAATAAGTTTAACTTAGAAATAAGAGATTAGTTCAAGAGTTGGCAGTGGGTATTGCCAACTGATTGCCTTCCCTCTGGTCAACAGTTCAAAATTAGGAATGGTGGCAGATAACCTTAGTAGCTTTGCCATAACTCAAAAACAAAGAAACAAATACAACAACTCTGCAGCTGAAAGGGTAGGCATGTTTACTGGCAAGGGAATCAAACATGAAACCCTCATATCATGAAGCAAACTCCCTAATCACCATACCAGCGTGATGAAGAACAAACATGAATGTGTTCAAAAAAATAATAATGTCAAATCATAATGGTAATATTGGCTCGTTAGAATAATCAAAAACAGTAATAATCAGAAACACTAATCCTGATTAGATGATTATTTTCATCACATTTCATTTAATTGTAATTTGAATTAACCAATTATTTTGATGCTCATGGGCAATAGATTAATCACCCAGATCTAATTCTCATAGTTTTTCCCCCAAAAATCATTATTTTTGCCAATAACTTAAGACATTGCTACCAGATCGAGTTTTAGAACATGTATGTGTAAGTCATGTTAACAAAAAAACAACAAAAACACAAACGTTAAAATATTCTTGGAAACAGTTAACAGCTAAAGTTTTTTTACTGACTGTATAAAGAGTAAAATTATGTTTACTCTTACAGCTTAATAAAGGTTAAAAGTAACAGGAATATACTTTAAATGTATAAAAAGCAGAATTTAAATGTAATACTCAGTTAATGCAGTGCACATTATCCAGTATTTATGAAACATAGGACAACTCCTCTGATGTATGTCTTGTTTCAAGTAAACATTGTATTTGGATGGGGAGAGTTAGAAATCTACAGTACAAGTGTCTTTTTTGTTTAGTATGAAATTCATTTCAACTACATAGGATGGAAAAAGAAGTCATTTGGTTTTTCCTGTTCAAAGTGTAATGAGTAAAAGTTGATATTACATTTGAGTTATCTATTATAAATAACTTTGAAGACTACATAAACGAAAGTTAAACAATTAGCTATTTAAGAAATTGAATATAATTTCTTCTTAATAATTTTTAGTCATAAAAGTAGAAAGTAGGATCTAAACCTGTGTATTTCATTCTGTGGTCCTCGGTCCATAGAGGTTTGAGAGCATTCCATGGAAGATCTCCAACTATGGTGAAGATTGAGTTCCATACCGTAGTTTTAAAATGAAAAAACTATGTATGAAATATAATTGTTTATTTCAAAAATTTCTTTAACTTGCATACTTATTTATGTCAGTGCTGCTTTCATAGACTGTAGGATTAGTTTCTGCAGATAGACCTGGGGAGGGGGGGGGGGGCAGACTTTTTTGGTTCATGAAGGGGTGCATGAGTAGAAAGGTTTTAAGATGATGGTCTCAATGACCCAAAATAACCCAAAAAAGATTAAAACTCTTAAAAGGAAAAAAAAAAGATCTTCATTTTGCTATGACATAAGGTCTCTGATATTGTTAGTGCTAAGTTCTCTTTTATGTTGTGTATCATTATTCAGAGATATTTTCATGCACATCTTACATGTATCAATTAATATTAAGATCTGATCAATGTCTCCATACTAAGATCAAAGTGAAAAATCAACTCTATACTGGGTACAGATAATTAAGTATACTTTACTTACATTGATACATATTAAGATTAGAATGGATTGTTTCATCAACTGGGTATCCTCACTGTTAAAAATATTTTTGGCTGTACACCCTATAATATCTCACAAGGTTTAGCCAGCTTAAGAGACTTAGGTTAGTCCTAAATCCATATACTAAGCTAATAATGCAAGCATAATAATAAAACTAGATTTATTTAACATTCTAACCAGTACCATTAATAAAAGTAACATTGAAAAAAGCATACAGTATGACATATCTACAGAACATATTAAGACTTCAAAACGTTCCAATTAAATGGCTCCAACATCTTAAGAGACTTTGGTTAATCCTAAATCCTTATACTAAGCTTACAATGGCAGTATAATAATAATAATAAAACTAAATTTGTTAAACATCCTAACCAATACTGTTGATAGAAGTAACGTTAAGGAAAGAACAGAGTAGAACGTATTTATTAAACACAAAAGCACTAGTTGTTAGCTTCAGGTACAGCCATAAGTTTGTCTGTTTAACTAGTTGTTAGCTTCAGGTATAGCCATAAGTTTGTCTGTTTAACAGTATTACTTCAGGTATAGCCATAAGTTTGTCTGTTTAACAGTGTTACTTCAGTATAGCCATAAGTTTGTCTGTTTAACAGTGTTACTTCAGTATAGCTGTGCATTAGCAAATCTTTCCACAATTGTCCCTAAAAACAACTGGTGGCCAATGACAAGTTGACAACCCATTAAACTGCTCTGACAATGTAACTTTAGAGGAGCCTGACAACTGAAATAAACTGCTAAGATACATTATTCAATAACGATATAACAAAAAATTATGTTACAAAGTAATATAATAACTAAGTATTCCACCTTTCAAAGCTATCATTATATTCAACATTAGCAGCCAAGTCGATGGTTTTCAGTGGTGTAGTCTTTGACTCAGTATAAATCGTATAATTAATACAGTCAATACTAAGTAAAAATAACATCTTTCATCATAAGTGTATACTCTCCAATGCATGTTTAAGCATTTAAATTTTCACACTTGTAATCTTATTCAAATTCACCAAAACTTATGCTGGGTCAATCATTTAAGATGATGTGGTAACTGACTCAGTACAAATCACATATGTACCATAGGCATTATAGAATGTAAATAACTTTCTTTATCTCAACCTTAGGTACTCTAACACAAGTCTAATAATTTATCACATCATAGAGATTTAACTCCTTAAATCTGAGTTAACGCTTTAAACATCCGGCCAAAAATACCAGTTGTCCCATTGGACAGTGACAGAGTCCAATACTATTCATCTTTTTTGGCTGAAAACTAATCTAAACCATGTTATTATCCACCTTTTATAAATAGATTGGAATTTTATATGGTGTGGTTATATTTATTAGGTCATCATGAAAATAATTCCAGCAGAATATGCAAAAAATTATGGGCTTAAAAGTGTTAAAACTACACCTGTTAGCTCTAACGTTTCTCAAATTCTGTACTAGTTTTTACTAAATTATCTTTCAAGAACTGGTTACCTTTAATTTGTTCTATTCATAAGCTCCCTTTCAAGTCTAGCCATTGGATAAACAAACTTTAGCAAGGTGAATTAAAACAATTAGAACTTGGCCAGTAGCACAAAGAGTCATATACACACACAGGCTGTACTATTGTTCTGTGGACATCTACCTGAAACTTGCAACTTACCAAATAAAACATAAGTTTATATGTGTTTATGCAACTTACAGTATTAAATTTAACTAAACAGTATGTATTTTAGTATTTAGAGTGTGAAATAGATTTAACATACAGCATTAAATTCCTTACATTGTAATAACTACATTGGCTAAACATGACAGGTGTGGCAATGAAGTTTTACATGTGACATTTCTGCTTTGGTGAATAGTAATTCACTACACAGGCCCAACATTATCAGATGTTCTTGTTATAAGGGGTAAATATGCTTCTAACAGCACTGTCACCCAACTGATGACCTAAGGCAGATTAGTCAAAGGGGCTTTTTGAGGCTCGCCAAGCACTCATAATTGTAATCAATTATTAACTGGATTTTTTTATTGAAGATGTTTAGAAAATCTTCAGGTGGAACTTTATACATAATAGTACAGCCAAAAATTAATGTTTATGCAGTTATAAGAAGTAAATAAGGAATTAAATGAATAGTTGAATCATATAACAAAGAGCTAGAATCTTGGTACTCTAATTAATAGATAACCATGCTAAGTGTTACAGACACAACTTATTAATTAATATATAACCATGCTAAGTGTTACAGACACAACTTATTAATTAATATATAACCATGCTAAGTGTTACAGACACAACTTATTAATTAATATATAACCAT